CCTTCTTTTTTGGTCCGTTTGCTTGTAGGATTGTTTTCCAATCCTTTACTTTCAGTCTGTGTTTATCTTTTGTGGTTAAATGTGTATCCTGGAGACAGCAGAAGGTTGGATTTGTTTTTTAATACAGCCTGCTACTGTGTCTTTTTAACGTGGATGGAGCTAGAAGGAATTATGTTTAGTGAAATAAGTCAGAAGGAAAAAGAGAAATATCAGATGGTTTCACTTATAGCAGGAATATAGGTGAACCAAATAAGACATCATTTTAAAAAATAATAACAATACAAAACACAACAAAGCAATAACAGACAATTCTAAATCAGCGACATCCTGCAGGGGAGGAGGGGAAAGAGGGATCAGAGGGAGAGAGGGAGGCGCACAGGGGACTGTGGTGATGGTGCACGGGTGCATTGGTGAAGGAAAGTCTATGGGGACTACATCTGAGGGGGGAGGGAAGCAAATATTATTTAAAAATGAACAATGATATAAAAAGTAAAAAAGGGAATTCTCTTACACTGCTGGTGGGAATGTAAATTGGTCCAGTCACATGGAAGGCTATGTGGGGTTTCCTCAAAACATTAAAAATGGATCTACCATATGACCCAGTGATTACACTGTTATGGCAGGATTCTGTCAGGTAGTACTCAGAGAGGAGGAGGGAAGTTCTTTATTTACCCACTGGGCTTTACACTGGTGGACCCAGAAGAGTTCTCTCTCCAAAGTCTGAGCCCTGAGCAATTAGGTAACAGAATATTTATTGTCTAAAGCAAGGTTGTATAGAGTTAGCTGGGAGGCATGAATCAGGCATGTGACCTTAAGAGCATTTGTGAGTTGTTCCCTGAAACTTTTAGTCCAAACTTTGTTCCAACTTCAGGTAATCACAGGTCAGCCTGAAATTTTCCACTTCAACACTTCTAGGAACCTACCCAAAGGACACAAAAACACTAACCTGAAAAGTAAACCTGTACTTTTATTTACTGCAGCACCATTTACGATAGTCAAATATGGAAACAACTTAAATGCCCTTCAAACAGATGAATAGATCAAGAAGATGTGATATACATACACAATGGAATACTACTCAGCGAGCAAAAATGATAAAAATCATGTCATTTGTGGCAATATGGATGCAACTGGAAGTGATCAGGCTAAGCAAAATAAGTCAGGAGGAAAAAGATAAATATCACATCATTTCACTTGTATGTGGAATATGTAGAAACCAAACCAAGGATTGGGGCAAAAAACTTGCAAACTGACCATAGATCTGAGGAATACGACAGGATAGGAGGAGCAAGAGTGGTCAAAACAAGGGAGGGAAGAGCACAATGGACTGAGGTAATGAGTCACATATGCTCTGGTGGTGGGAGAACTACAGGGCCTACACCCGAGGGGAGAAATCAAATACTGTCCAAAAATTAGCAATGATGTAAGAAAATAAATTTAAAAAATAAATCAATTTCTTAAAAAAAAAAGGAAAATAGCAACAGCCTGTGTTCTCCTTATCAGTGATTATGAAAATACAGTAATACCCTGTTCTTTCCTTATCAGTTATTAGCAAAGAAACAAGGGACAAACTGTTGATGATTACAAAAGACTCCACACTGCTGCCTTTTATCTTAAGACTCATTTCAACCAATCAAACCAAAAAATGACCTAAGCTTAATTAAATCATTTCCCTGCTTGATCCTTAACAATTCTTCTATACCCTGCCCTTTGATTGTGGACCTGGATCATGATTTGTATTCTTAAATAAAGACTTCCTTGATTATATTATTGTCTGATTCTCAGTCAACAGCCATAACCACAGAGTCTCCTGTGAAATTTGAACCCCACCATGGGTCCAGGATCTCCATTTCAAATTTGTTCCTTAAATACACCCTTTCAAGCCTTGAATATTCTTCTGAGTTCTCTTTTATACCCTTTAGCAGCTAATTCCATAATGATAATTTTTAAAAAACAGTAAGTGGTCCCTGTGCAAATGGCTGCATGATTTGCATCCCTTGAGAAAACCTGATTGAGATACTAGTAAAACTAAAGTTGTACAGGTATAATGTGTATGACCCAGCAATAGTGTGAGTATTGCATGTGTGTGTGTGTGTGTGTGTGTGTGTGTGTGTGTGTGTGTGTGAGAGAGAGAGAGAGAGAGAGAGAGAGAGAGAGAGAGAGACAAAGAGAGACAGAGAGAGACAGACTTTGACATGTGTGGCAAAGTGCAAAAACAAGTGGTGCTGTTCAGCATAATCCAAATCTACTTACCTATTAACAGGAAACTCTCTGACTGGAAAGAGAGAGAGGGAGAGGTGGGGAGAGAAAGGGAGAAGGGAGAAGAGAGAAGGGAGAGGGAGATATCAAGGGTACCTCCAAGATTTTTAATCTGAACAACTGGAAGATAAGAGCTGTCATTTTCTGATAGAGAAGCCTACAAGAAGACAGGTTTTAACTTTTTGTAGTTAATATCAGAAATTAGTTTTAGACATATTCAGTTTGAGATACTGTAGTGGCAGGAATGACACAGTGCAGGATTTCTATGACCGGGCAGATGGGTGAAGGAGGAGTCCTGGAGCCCTCAGTGTCTTTTTCAGGCTTTTATTTGGATTTAACAGGTACATGGCAGTCTGGATTTAACAGGTACGTGGCAGTCTGGGGTGATGTGGGGTCAGGAAGCTGGAAGGCCTCCCGGCTCCCGGCTAACCTTCATTCTTTACTGGTCTCTCCGGCGCTCTCTCGTGGCCTCTTCTGGTCTGCTGCTCCATTTTCTACTTTGCTCTTCTATTCCATTCCAACTCTCTCTGCTAGTGTCCCCGTGATGCTGCCCTAATAAGCCCAGTCTCTCAGCCCAGGTGTACCCACTTACATATGCCCACACCTTACTCCAGGTGCCTGCCATCAGGCATGCATTCAGGCCCACAGATCCATCATCAATCCTAATGGCAGGAGGGCAGAAAAGCCTGGTACTTTTTACCTTACCCTACAGATACCCATTTAAATGGAAGTGTTAAATAGAAAATTGGTTGGGCAAATCTGCATGACCAGACTGAATGACCATTAAATCTATACATTTGAGGTTCTTCAGCATTCAGTGTTCTTAAAGTCAAGAGGTTGCGTTTGTGACCAGATGAGTAATTATGGATTTTCGAGAAAAGAGCTAAGGACTGAAATCTGGGATGTACTTCTTGGATGACAGCTATGTCCTTCTTTCTCTGTTTTGGTTGTCATGCTCACCCCATCTGCCCACCCCAAAGGTCATTTCTCACTATCCAGAAGGGTCACATCATTGTTGCAGGCTGATTCCTCCCTTTCATTCAAATTTCAGCTCACAGAATTTCCTTTTAAACACCTTCTCTAAGGTGAGAAGAGAGACAAAGGAACTGATAAATTATTCAAGGAGATAATTGAAGAGAACTTACTGAGCATGAAAAAGGAGATGAACATAGACATATCAGAAGCGATAAGAACACCTAATTACCACAATGAAAAGAAAACTACAGCAAGACACATAATAGTAAAGCTTGCAAAAGTCCAAGACAAGGAAAAATAATGAAACTGGCAAGGGGGGAAAAACAGATAACTTATAAGGGAAAATTAATCAGGCTGACATCGGACCTCTCTGAAGAAACACTAAGGGCAAGAAGAGAAGGGAGTGACATATTCAACAAATTTCAGGACAGGAAAAAATAAACACCTGGGATTACATCAAACTGAAAAGCTTCTATACAGCAAAAGAGACATTAATCAAAACAAAGAGACACCCCGTTGATTGGGAAAAAAAACTTGGCACTCCATACAACTGACAAGGTACTGATCACAAAGATAATCAAAGAATGCACAGGACTCAACAAAATCAAAGTAAACAATCCAGTCAAGAAATGGGCAGAAGAACTAAAAGAAACTTCTCCAAAAAGGACATGCAAATGGCAAACAGACATATGAAAAAATGTTCAATCCCTTATAATGAGGGAAATGCAAATCAAAACCACAATGAGATACCACCTTACATTAGTAAGAATTGCACATATTTAAAAAAAAAAAACTAGCAACAACAAATATTGTCGGGGATGTGGTGAAAAAGGAACTCTCCTATATTGCTGGTGGGAGTGCAAACTGGTCCAACCACTCTGGAAAGCTGTATGGAGGTTCCTCAGCCTACTAAAAATGGAGCTACCTTAGGACCCAGCAATTCCACTCCTAGGGATCTACCCAAAGGACACAAAAACATTGATTTAAAAGATTATCTGTACCCCTATATTTATTGCAACACTATTTATAATAGGTAAAACCTGAAAACAACCCAAATGCCCCAAAAGAGATGAGTGGATCAAGAATATGTGGTATACATATATATATATATATATATATATATATATATATACACAATGGAATATTATTTCACAATCAAAAAAGATAAACTCATGCCATTTGCAGCAACCTGGGTGGAGATAGAAGGAATTATGCTCAGTGATGGTGCACAGGTGAATTGGTAAAGGAAATTCTATGGGGACTATACCTGAGGGGTTGGAAAGCAATCTTTTTTTTTTTTTAAATGAACAATGATGTAAAATATACATAAATTTAAAAAAATAAACACCTTCTCTAAAAGATTACTCAGTAGCACTTTTCCATGGCACTGACCTCTGACATTACCTTATTTGCATATTGTCTTTCATACTGGAATCCCAGCTCCCACCTTGTGAAGACCCCACCTTATTTACTTTTGTCTATTACAATGTCTCCAACAGCATATGCCATTAGACAGGCGGTCAAATAAATATTTGTTGAATAAATGAATGATAACATACATGACTGCATTCTTTTTAGCTTCCAAATTCTGGGAGAGCAACCTGGACTGACATTTTTCCGTGATCCAGTCTTTATTTTTCTTTACCTCCACTTTTCACTTCTTCACCAGCACTCCCTTGCTGTTACGAAAGTCCAACAGTGTTGCAAAGAGATTACAGAGAACAGCTTCTGCCAAAGCCTGTGAATCAGAAGATTGTATAAAGAGGTTAATCTTTATACAATGTGCCCAGTGATTTCAGGAAGATGAAGGACATGCCCCAGAGGGCCAGTAGAAGGGCCAGGCCAGTTCCAAGACAGTATTTGCTAAGGTGCAGTCATGGGGCAGGTTCTGGAGCAGCTCTTCATTTTGGTAGGGCTGTTGGTATTTCTGGTCTACCTGGTGAAGTGTGTGAGATTCTCCAAATGTATTTTTTTGCATTTCTGGAGAGCTCTGCCAAGGTCTTTCTTGAAGTCAATGGGACAGTGGGCAGGTAAGAAAGCTTTCCACCTCTTCTGTTTTGTTATATCTGCTTCTTATTATTTATGTCTCAAGGGATATATTGCTTTTCTTCCTTTTGAAAGCAAAGGTGTAATTCCTTTGGGTGATTTTAATTTGGATGATGGTGGTGGAAAGAATGAGTGAAGTTAAAATGTTCTTAAAAAACAAGATGTTGGGCTTGAGGAGAATAACTAGGGAGGATGCTACTCAGCTCTCCCCTATGTGCCTGCCCTCTCATCCTTGCTAGCTGAGTTTGTTTCTTTATGGAGTTTATAATGATATAAACAATAAAGAATGCACAAATTTCTATATCCTCTTTTACATATTTTCAAAAGTCCTGGGTTCCTCCATTCTCTTACAGGGCATTTTAAAATTCTGAAATTCAAGCAATTTAAGTATATATTTTTACATCATTGTTGATTTTTGTACAAGTTTGATTTCTCCTCTCAGGTGTAATCACTATAAAATTACCACCACCAAGACACCTGTGAACCATCACCATAGTCTCTGTGCTCTCCACTCCCATTTTGATCCCTCTCCCTCCTCCTCCCCTGCTGAATGTCTCTGATTTATAGTTTGCCTGCTAGTTTTGTCTTTTTTTCCCTAATCCTCTCCCTTATTAAAAGATATTTCTCTGAGTCATATCATGAGTTTGTGAAGGCATTCCAGAATCAAGGCATCTAAGATCTCTTGGGAGCTATGTTTTCAAGATGGTTAGAATCTGGGTCTGGTTTGTGTACCATGATGATTAAATGCTACTTTCTATTAGGTTTTATTTCCTGGATGTTTCTTGTGAGTTCGTTTCTTGTGAGTTTCAGCTCCATTGCTGAGTTTAAGGTAAAGGCATAAGGCTATGGTTTTAGTATCTCTTTATGAAGTGCTAAAGATAGATTTCCAAGCTGGGAATCAAGAAATCCGATGACTTTAGAAAATATAAATCATCTAAGAAATACATGCATAAGGAGATGTGAACTTTCTAGGGCTGCCAGGTAAAATACAACACACTCAGTTAAATTTGAATTTTGGATAAACAATAATTTTTTAGTATAGATCACTCCAAATATTGCATGGGACATACTTACACTAAAAACTACCATTGTTAACCTGAAACTCATATTGAACTGTGCATTCTGTATCTTCATATACTAAAGCTAGAAAACTTACAACTTTGTGTGTGTTTGTGTATGTGTTTGTGTGTTTGTGTGTGCACGTGCACGTGGGTGACTGAAAACTCCTTTGTTCTAGGAATAGTATGTCTCCAGTGAACTTTAGCTTGAGTGCGCTGTATCTCAATATCCTGCTCCACACAGATACAGATGAGGTGGTTTAGGACTCTTTCTTTTATTTTAGAGTGTTTTCCATGGTTTCACCAACCTCCCCACTCCCAAAAGCTTCATTTTGAACTTTTAATGGAGGGAGGGGAGGACTGCAAACTTCAGAGTGGGAAAGGTTTGAGGGACACCATGATGGAATCTTCTGTCTAGAGAGTAGTCCTGCAAGAACATGTGACCAGGGCCTCCCGGGTGGCACAGGGGGTTGAGCGCAGCACTGTGAAGCAGTCCACAGCTTGCAGCAAAAGTTCGATTCCTGGCTGGCCAGGGAGATACCCACATGGTGCGGCAGACCTCTCCTGTCTCGCCCGCTGCTCCCCTTAGCAGTGTTTTTGATCCTTCTGCCTGTTCTGCTCCCTGCTCTGTCTCTGGTGAATCCTTTCACCCTCCTGCAGTTCTGGCCCGCACACAAGTTGTTGTATAAATAAATAAATCTTTAAAAAAAAAAAAGAAAATGTGACCAGCAAGATAGAAGACTAGAGATCTATTCTCTCCTTTAAAACCATTTCTGGGGCCTCCCCTGGTGGAGCAGCGGTTGAGTGCTAGCCTGCGAAGCTGCCTGCAGCCTCTGCAGTGCTGGTTCAATCCCCGGCCCCCAGGGAGGTTCCCACATGGCGCGCAGACTATGGTGCGCAAACCTCTCCTGCCGCGCCTGCTGCTCCTCTCAGTAATGTATTTCATCAGTCTGCCTGTTCTGTTCCCTGCTCTGGCTCTGGTGAATTCCCTCACCCTCCGGCACTTCTGACTGTGCCCAGTGCTTGTATAAATAAATAAATCTTTAAAGATAAATAAATAAATAAAACCATTTCTGCTTTTTGCAGTGATCACTGGAGCAGGAGATGGGGTTGGAAAAGCATATTCATTTGAGGTAAGTTGTGTTCTCAGACTTTCTCTTTCTTGGGTATTGAACACATTCAGGCCATGTGATGTCTGTCTCAAATATAAGATTTCTGATTATAAAAGCAATATGTATTTATTTATGAAAGCTAGTATTTTTTTATTACAGAGGAAATGTAAAGATCATAATTTCACCCCCCTGGGATTATTTCTCCTTGGGAATTGTTTCAGGAATATATGGGATATTGTTAATTTTTAGTGTAATTGTACCGTAAGTGTTTATATACTTAAACACAATTTAAAAAATGATAAGCTACCTTCCTTCTATCTGTCCTTTATAACTAAGGCATATATTGATTTTTAAAATTATTTTTATAGCCATAACATTATCTATTATTTGCATTTCAAGAAGATTATTAATTGCAAAGTATTATATAAAAAGAGGATCCACTAAGATTTGACTAGGAAGTTTGAATACCAAACCCTGGCTCTCTCAAGTACTAAGTAATGGAGATAGGTAGGTAGGTAGGCAGATTGATGATTGATAAATAGATACAGATGATAGAGAGATAGATAGGCAGAAAGATATTTAATTTATTCTAATTCTTTCCCTCCCTCAAATGAAGCTGTGAGCCTGATGTAAGCTATTTATTAATCAGTTGGGTACACCTACCTAGTCAGAACAGAGGTTTTGAGTAAAGCATTAGGATATCAGGGATTTCAAATTTAAAGGAAAAACAAAGGTACAGAATGGGAGATTGAAACTTAAGGGAGAAGATGGACTAATTGCAGAAAGTATCTACCAACATTTCTCAGAATATTAGTAGCATTGTTTAGATTCCTGATGATTCATTACATTCCAAATAAAATAGGTGCTGAAATATTAAAAAAAAAAAAAGGGGATCCCATAGGACTAAGAGTTACTAGAATATGATTGCTCTCTTTGTGTCTTTCCTTCCAGAATTGTTTCTCTGATAAAAGATAATTATGATTAAAATAATGCATATATAGCATATCTGGTTCTGTTAATATTGTTATTATTGTTATTATCAATATTATAGTTATTATCACAAATTCCACATTTCATTGATGAATTATTTTTTTCTTAGAATTCTCATGTGTTTTATTTCTTCCTCTTGCCTATTACCCTGACCTCTAGAATCATATAAAATACAATATGAGAAACAGAAACAATACTAGAAATGGTAAGAGGATGGCTGTTAAAAAAATCACAACACCTTAAAATATAATGAAAAGCACCTCATTCATAATAGAAAAATAATCTTAGAAATAAACAACACAAATTCATAGGTCTATTTCTAAAGAAAACAGTAAAATTCAATTGAGAAATGTGAGCCATAACCTGAATAAGAGAAAAATACCATAGTCTTTTCTTCTTCTTGTTTTTTTATTGGTGGTCTATCTTATTAACTCTAAAATATCAATTATTTTTCATCAATGTCTTATAAGTACACACAATGGTTTCTTTCTTACATATCCTTCCCTCCTTCCTTCCTTCCTTCTTTCCTTCCTTTCTTTCTTCCTTCCTTCTTTATATTTTACATCCTGTTTCATTTTTTTTTTTACAATGTTTGCTGTCTTTTTTCAGGCATAATCCCCATTTCACCTGTGCACCATCACCATAGTCCCTTGAGATTTTCTCTCCCTCATTTTGATTCATCTCCCTCCCCCTCCCCTGCAGAAATTCTCTGATTATAGTTGTCTGTTTATTTTTGTTTTGTTTTATTATTTTTATTGTTATCATTTTTCCCCTAATACCTTACTTGGTTCCCTTATACTCCTCCTACAGGTGAAACCATCCAATATTTTTCTTTTTCCTTCTGACCTATTTCAATGATTATAATCCCTTCTAGCTCCATCCATGTTGCTGTGAATGACATTAGTGTATCTTTTTTGAATGCTGAGTAATATTCCATGGTGTATATGTACCACATCTTCTTGATCCAGTCATCTATTTTTGGGCATTTGAGTTGTTTTCAAGTCTCACCTATTATAAATAGTACTGCAATAAACATAGAAGTACAGGTATTCTTTTGAATTAGTGTTTTTGTGTCCTTTGGGTAGATTCCTAGGAGTGGAATTGCTGCGTCATATGATAGCTCCATTTTTAGTAGTCTGAAGAACCTCCACACAGCTTTCCATAGTGGTCGGATCAGTTTGCATTCCCACCGGCAGTGTAGGAGAGTTCCCTTTTCACCTTACCAACATTTGTTGTCGCTAATTTTTTTAATATGTGTCATTCTTGGGCCTCCCTGGTGGCGCAGGGGGTTGAGCTCAGCACTGTCAAGCTGTCTGCAGTCTCTGCAGTGCCGGTTCCATCCACAGATGCTAGGGAGATACCCACATTGCGCGGCAGATCTCTCCTGTCTCGCCCGCTGCTCCCCTCAGCAGTGTTTTCAGTCCATATGACTGTTCTGCTCCCTGCTCTGACTCTGGTGAATGCTATCACCCTCCCACACCTCTGGCCTGTACCCCAGTTCTTGTATGCATAAATAAATAAATAAATAAATAAATAAATAAATAAATAAAACTATGAGTCATTCTTACTTGTGTAAGGTGATATTTCATTGTGGTTTTTATTTGCATTTCCCAGATTATGAGAAATGTTGAACATTTTTTCATATGGCTGTTGGCCATTTGCATTTCCTTTTTGGAAAAATGTCTTTTAAGTTCTTCTGCCCATTTTTTGACTGGATTGTTTATTTTGTTTTTGTTAATCATGTGAAATTTTTGTAGGTCTTCGTGATCAGTACCTCACCACTTGTATGGAGTTCTGAGATTTTTTTCCTAATCAATGGGGTGTCTCTTTGTTTTGCGTAATTCTCTTTTGGGTATAGAAGTTTTTTAGTTTGGTATAGCTCCAGCTGTTTATTTTTTCCTTCACTTTTTTTGCCTTGGATGATGAGTTTTTAAAGATGTTATTGAGATGTATGTCTTGTAGTGTTTTACCTATGTTTTCTCCTATATATTTTTTGGTTTCAGGTCTTATAGTCAGATCTTTCATCCATATTGAGTTGATTTGTGTGCACGGTGAGAGGTAGTGGTCTAGTTTCATTCTTTTGCTTATGGTGGTCCAGTTTTTCCAGCACCATTTATTGAACAAACTGTCCTTGTTCCATTGCAAATTCTTTGCTCTTTTGTCAAACATTAGTTGTCCATATATGTGTGGCTATATTTCTGTGTTTTCTATTTGGTTCCGTTTTTCTGTGTGTCTGTTTTTGTTCCAATGATACACTGTTTAAATTATTATGGCTTTGTATTATAGGTTGAAGTCTGGGGGTGTGATACCTCCATTCTTCATTTTAGTCAGGAGAGCTTTGGCTATTTGAGAATTTTTTTTATGGTTCCATATGAATTTCATCAGTATTTGTTGTATCTCTTTGAATAATGTTATTGAGATTTTTATTTTTATAGCATTGAATCTGTAAATTGCTTTTGGTAGGAAAGCTATTTTAATAATGTTGATTCATCCAATCCATGAGCAGGGGATATCTTTCCATTTCTTCCTATTGTCTTCTATTTCTTTTAACAATGTTTTATAATTTTCCTTGTAGAGGTCCTTTACTTCTTTTGTTAGGCTTATTCCTGATTATTTGATTTTTTTGTTTCAATTATAAAAGGGCTGCTTTTCTTGATTTCTTCTTCAGATTGGTTGTTTGTGTATAAGAAGGCTACTGATTTTTCTGCATTGATTTTGTATCCTGCTTCTGAACTAAACTGATTGATTGTTTTGATTAGTTTTTCTGTGGGTTTTCACTGCTTGTAATTGGTCTGTTTAGGTGCTCTATTTCTTCTTTATGTAGCTTTGGATGAGTATATCCTTCTAGAAATTTGTCCATCTCTTCTAAATTGTTGAACTTGTTTGTATATCTGTTCATAGTAATCTGATATTCTTTTGATTTCAACTAATTCTATGTAATTTCTCCTCTTTTGCGTACGATCCTATTTATTTGTGTTTTCTCCCATTTTTTCTATGTGAGCCTGGCTAGAGGCTTGTCTTTTTTGTTTATTTTTTTAAAGAACCAACTTTTGGTTTCATTGATCTTTTGGATTGATTTTTTAATTTCTATTTCATTTATTTCTGCGTTGATTTTTATTATTGTTTTCTTCTACAGATTTTTGAGGGTTTTTTTGTTGTTCCTTTTTTTTAGAGATTTATTTATTTATGCATGTAAGAGCTGAGGTACAGGGCAGAGGTGTGGGGGTGAGAGGATTCACCAGAGACAGAATGGGGAGCAGAACAGGTGGATATACTGAAACACATTGCTGAAGGGAGCAGCTGGTGAGACAGGAGAGGCTTGCTGTGCCATGTGGGTCACTCCCTGGCAGAGGCTGCAGATTGCTCATAGTGCTGTGCTTAACCCTTTGTGCCCCCAGGGAGGCCCTATTGTTCTTTGAGATGGAAGATTAGGTTGTTTCTTTGAGTTCTTTCTTGTTTCTTGATGTGAACCTGCATTACTTTATGCTTTCCTGTTATTACTGCTTTTACTGCATTCCATGCATTCTAGAAATTGGTGTCCTCCTTGTTCAACCCAAAGTAGTTTTTAATTTCTTCTTTGATTTCCCCTTTAATCCATTGTTCTTGCAGTAGTGTGGCTTTTAATCACCATGACATGGGAGGGTTCTTTGTTTTCTTTTCATGGTTTATTTCTAGTTTGATGCCTTTATGATCAGAGAAGATAGTTGGAATGATTTTGATCCTAATGTATATGTGATGTTTTTCTTGTGGCCTAATATGTTGTCGATTCTGGAGTATGATCCATGCACACTTGAGAAGAATGTTTACTCAGGTTTTTGGGGATGCAGTGTCCTATAACTGTCTGTAAAGCCCATGAGGTCTAGGTCTTTATTTAGGGCTCTAGTGTCTTTGTTTATCTTTTGTCTTGTTGATCTGTCCATTGGTGAGAGTGGGGTATTGAAGTGTATGCATCTTCTCCAATGTCTGTTTTCAGAGCTGATAAAAATTGTCTAATATATTTTGATGCGCTTTCATTTGGTGAGTCTATGTTG